CTAGGCCAGCCCAGGTAAGGTAAAAAAAAGACCCAGCGTATACTTACTGAAGACTTAGACTTCCCATGCAAATTGGATCCTGGAAAACACCTGGCAGTCTTGGTAGATACAGATGGTAGTCAGGAAGCATGCATCAGCTACTATGTATGGACCAGGCTTTGCTTACAACCTGGTGGTGATCAGGTGTTCTTTTGGGAGCACTGTGTCACAAAGGTGATGTATATAAGTGGACAAGAATGAAAAGCACATGCAAGGACCCTTGAAGGTCTGTATAAGATGGTATTGAGGTTAGATGAGGTCTTTGTGCCAGTCATTTGGTAAATTGTCACATGATGGAGGGTCTATCTTTCTGTTAAGGTGGGCAGCATGGGGTAGACATCAAAGGCAGCTGCATCAGCCTTCATTCTGCATTTGCAGAACAGGCAGCCCTGGGCACATGACTTGATGTTAGCTTTCTCGCTACTATTTACCCTGCACGATCGTTGCAGGGATTGAAACCACCATCTGTAAGGCACTCAGCACAGTCCCTGGGTTAGCATATGTGCTCAAGAATGAGCACAATGGTGGCTGTCAGAGGAGAGGTGGACAGAGGGTTGGGTGAAAAAGGTGAAGGGATGAAGTAAAGGAAAAAAACCCTCTTGGTATAGAGAGTATGATGATTATCAGAGGGAAAGGAGGTTGATGGGAGGTAGAAGAGGGTAAAGGGGATAAATGGTGACAGAAGGAAACTTGACTTGATATGGTGAACACACATACGATTTAGAGAATATGTATGGTAAAATTGTATACCTAAAACCTATACTTTTTTTTTCATCAGTGTCATCCCAATAAACCAATAAAATGATTTTTAAAATCTAGCAGATTTTAAATTTGTTTTAGATTTTAGATCATGTTTTGTTTTTCTCAGAAGCCACGTCTTCATTCCCAAGCCTGCCTTTTATTGCCTTATGTCCCCTCCCTGATTTGTGAATCTGTGAGTTCAGTCCTCAGTCTCATTGAGTATTTCCTGGTTCCTCAAGAGGTGAACCTTGGAGAGCTGGCTTTACTTTTGGTTTCTACTTTCATGTGAGGCTCCCATCTATGGTCCATAAAGACATGTGAAGGCCCCTCATCAGTACCACTGATACTGGGTCCATCACCCCTGACCACACTGATGTCTGTGCCCACCTCCTGGGGCTCCCAATCGTGCCATACCCTCAGGAGCTAGAGAGAAGGGATAACTTTTCTGGAAACCTTAGTCCACCAAAGCCCTACTGTTTTCCTGCAATCCTGGTGAGCATGCACCCTGCCCCCAAGTGGTACCGCACTTGGTCATGTGGGCCCTAGAGCTGCTCGTATGTCTCCCGGTCCTGAGGCCCCTCACAGACACAGATAGCTGTCTAGGGTAGTCATTTGGAAAATCTGTCTTTCGGAAAATTGCTGTCTTCCCAATTTCCTGCCTTTTCAAAAGGGGTATCCCTCCCTGCAAAACCAGCAAGCATGTCATCCCATGGAATGTGACCCAGAGCAGGTGCTCTCAGTTCAACAACCTGAATTCCAGATTTCAGCTGCAGTTGCAACCATCCCAGCAGGTGACTAAAACCCCTCAGGAAGACAAGCTGAGCTCTGTTTGGAGGAAAGTTCCAGCCCCTTGTAAAGAACTTTCCTGCAGAGAACTCTGCAAGATTGGAACTACAGGATCTCTTCCGTTGGTCTGACACCCTTAGGGCCAGATGTGTTTCAGAGGTTTTCAAAAATTTGGAAGGCGATATGCTGTATATTCTGTGCATTACACAGTTGGACAAACATATAGCCCAGGGCCCGGCCTGAGGGTTCTTTTGGTAATTAAAGTTTTATTGGTACACAGCTACCCCCTTTTGTTCACATGTTATCTATGGTTGCTTTCAGCTACAGTGGCAGAGCTGAGTATGCAAGACACTGCCGAATGCCCACAAATCCTGAAATATTTACTGTCTGGCTCTCTAAGCAAGTTTGCTAAACCTTGTGTGATGTAACACCCTGGGGGCAGCACCTTGTGATTAAACACATGAATATCTCTGTGTCAGAATGAATGGATCCTCACACCCGTGAGATAAATAACTCTACGTAGCTTTGGCTACCAAATGGTTTTTGAAAGAACTTTACATGTTCAGAGCTTTGGCAGCTTCATAAGGTCCTTTTTTGCTCTGACACTGAGTGGATGCACAAGGCAGCAGGATGGGTTGCTTATGTGTTATTGGTAAAGTCACACTTATCATATCTTCAACTTTCTGCTTTGAATACAGATGGCTGCCTTCAGGCTGGGGCCCTGGGGCTTCTCTTGAACCCTGGCTGGGGTGGAGCTGGCAGCAAATGCCTCCCTATTTTTTTTATATATATGATTTTATTTTTGCAGATGTAGTCCCTTATTCAATTGGGCCACTACAAAGATAGATAGAAAGTACAGGGACCCCCTTCCCCCCATCCTAGTGCAAATCAAAAGAACAATATCAGACCATTCAAGGCCTGTCAGTGGATTCGGTAACCACCCTATGCATGTTGTACGTCCTTCATGGCTGGCTTCCACATTGTTCCTGAAGCTGACCTGTCAGTGTCAATCTCTTGAATTCAGAGAAGCATGTGAGGCTTTGTACCAGATGGAACAGAGGTGTATAGCAGATGAAGGCCCCTCCCCTAGTGCAATTCCAGGGACACCTCGATGCTAAGGCTGGATGAGGCAGGGTTGGAGTATCGACAGCAGACTCTACTACGAAGTATTTCATGAACACCCAGAAATATTTGCATAGATGTCTTTTAATTGCATTCTTAGCTTTTTTCTTTTTCGTAGCTCTTTGTGATGTTCAGTTTAATCAGCATGTTTACTAATCCCTTGCTCTGGGCTGGGTGTTGTGCACAGTTCTGCCCTAATCTTGCTGGAACGTGAGGCTAATGCATTGGCAGTTTAGCAATAGGGAGTATGTGCTAAATTCGAGTATTCTTGTGTGTGATTCTAGTTGTAAAGTCATTTTTACATGTTTTAGACTTGTAGTTGAGTTTAAATATTGGGATGTCAACCATTTTTGGAAGATTATAGGCTAAAGTATAATCAGATATAATAAAAAGCTAATATACAAATGGTCATCATGCCCTAGCCATTATGCCATAATAGCTCATACACTCAACACTGGGGAGAGAGGAATGGGGACCAGCCAGGCTGCAGCCCTGGAGAGGGACAAGCTGCCCGCCCTACAGTCCTGGGCACCAGTGACTGTGCCTGCAGTCCAGGAGAGGGACAAGGTGCCTGCCTACCGTCCTCTGTGGCTGCGGCTGGCCCAGGCAAAGCCGACCTAGGCCAGCCAGAGGGAGGGAATTCTGGGTCCAGGTCCCAGGTGCAGGGAGAGGCAGAGGTGGTTAAGGGCAATCAGGCCAGCAGGGGAGCAGTTAGGGATGATCAGGCCAATAGAGGATCAGTTAGGGGCAATCAGGCAGGCAGGCAGAGAGGTTAGGGGTAATAAGGCAGGCAGGCAGGCAAGCAGTTAGGAGCCAGTGACCCTGGATTGTATGAGGCATTTGTTCATTCCCCAAGGGGTCCCAGATTGGAGAGAGTGCAGGCCAGGCTGAGGGACCTGTCCTTCTGTGCATGAATTTTGTGCACTGGGCCTCTAGTATTATATAAACATGGTAGCAACTTCACACTTATTGTATACCCTGCCTCTTGTCAGGTAGGGCATAGCTACTCTAGAATGGGCTCCTGGGAGATCCCAAGCTCCTGGCTCAGACCCCAGTCCTCTGAGTCCTGGGCCATATCTTCTCTTTTCTTCTTGTTCCAGGACTTGATACATAGTAGACCCTGGCCAGGTGGCTCAGCTAGTTGGAGCATCATCCAGTAAACCAAAAGGTTTGCTGGTTCGATTCCTGACCAGGAAACATACCTGTGATCCCTGGTTGGGTTGTGTACAGGAGGCAGCTGATAACATTTTTCACATTGATATTTCTTTTTCCCCCTTCCTCTCTCTTTGAAAGCAATGAACGTATGTCCTTGGCTGAAGATATACTGTATATTTATGTGAAAGGAAACCAGGAAGGGAAGGAGTTAATGCTATATTAGGAAAGCAGTAGGTTAAATCTTCTTCAAGAAAATGACATTAGTTAGCTCTCTTAGCCCCATCTAGATTCTTCTACCCTCTGTCTCATGGCCTCCATGGCCTCCCAAAGCTGGTATGAGGATTGTTCTCTGCTTTCTCTAGGTGTGTGCACACACACTTATGCATGGATATGCGCTCATATGCACATAGCTTTTTAAAAACGTATGGGAGCAAGTAGAATGTTATCTGATGTCTGTTTTGTCTAAACAAGAGACACATTTAAGATAATGAGCACCATCTGAGAAGAGACAAAACCTGGCATGATGATCTAGGCACCCTTGCAAGACCCTTTTAACAAGTCTTGTGCCAGATAAACAGTGTGGTCACTTTGTTCAGGTCTCCCAGCTGACTGGTCAATTCAGTTCAAAACGTGTTCAGACTTGTAGCTTTGCCTATTGGCCCAGTTACTGCATGGAATAGATCTGGTCACAGTATCTAGGGAGGTCAGTTCAGGGACTCAGTGTGAACACAGGTGGTGCAAGTGAGCAGCTACGTGAAGAAGCTCCATAGATTTCTTGGGGTTGTGTCCTGTCTGTTCTGAGGTGGGCAGGAGAGAATCCTTAACCTGTTAACCGGGGAGTTCCCTTTTTAATTACGCAACCTGTAACAGGCGCGTACTCTTTCACTAGGACATGTCAGTATGTCACGCCCAGCGGACGTAATTTTATATTATTATTTTTATTTATTTATACTTAATTAAAATAAATGAAATATATATTTTTTCATTTATTTATATATAAAGCACAAAGGAAAATACAAAATTACAAACAAATAGAAAAGAATACCAACAAAAAAATGGAAACATCGAATTAAAAAATCATAAATTTTACAAACAATTATAAAGATTGCAAAAAATATATATTGTCCCTCTCAGGGCGCAACATATATTTCAAGGACATATTCTTATGTCCTACCCATTCCCGATATTGTTTATGTTTGACATATTATAGATCCTGTTCGGTTAACAGGTTAAGATGTGTTCGAGTGTCCCTGACGTCACACACCTTGCACTTAGACACTTTGCACCCCCCCTGGGAAAGCACTGAATCAGTTCTCATGTTGGACCTTGTATTAGTTTCCCAGAGCAGCTCAACAAAGTACGCCGGAGTGGGTGGCTTCAACAACAGAAAATAGCTCCTCAGCTTTGGAGGCTGGTAGTCTGAGATCAGGGTGTCAGAGGGCTGGATTCCTCTGAGGCCTCTTCTTGCCTGCCGACAGCCACCTTCTTCCCATGTCCTCGCATGCTCTTCTCTCTGTATCTGTGTTCTATCTCCTTTCCTGTAAGGACACCAGCTGGATTAGGGCCCACCTAATGGCCTCATTTTACCTTTTTTACCTCTTTCAAAGCCCTGTCTCCGAATGCAGTCTTATTCTGAGGAACTAGAGATTAGGACTTGAACATAGGAGTTTTAGAGGGACAGAGTTCAGCCCACTACAGACCTCTTCTTGGACAGAGTCAGTGTTTCGTGCAGGAAACAAACACAGAATTTCTTTAATCCTTATCTTGTGCATAAGACTCACGAAAGCCCCGAGCCCTGCCCTCCTTCTTCCCCCCAAGATAGAACTGAGAGGGAAAGCAGAAAGTCTGGAATCCCTTCCCATTGACCACATTGGTCCATTATTTAACACTCATATGATAAGCCTTTTTCACTGATGTCTCCAATGTGCCCGTGTGGATATTCCCCAAGTAAAAGGCCTGGAGCTAGAGAAGCACACTCCCTCAGGGTTACTGTAGGCACGCAAGCCTCATCCAACCTACTGTCACCCTTTGTTTATGTAAATATAAGCAGAGCGGGCACACACTTCACATGTCTACCTCCATAAATTTGCACACGCCCACACGCATGTGTAACTCTCATTAATACACAGGATCCTTCCAGTACTCCAGCCGCCCTCCCATGTCCCCTCCCAGTCACTGCTGCTGTACAATTCCTAACCTCAGTTGTGTGGTTCAATGTGTACATATAAAAGCAAAGAGAGTCCATGGTTACAGTAGAAAAACCGTTAGCCTCACCTTTATCTGGGTTCCATTAGACCCCGCTCTGCTCCTAATTTAACCCCAGCACACTGGAAAGGCAGATGGATCTCTCCCCTCAGCTTCCTCTTTTGTCAAATGGTAGGGAGACACTCTCTAGTTAATAATGAATCTAGAAAACCTAGGAAAGTGTTAGACACACAGCTGATCAAGAGGGTATATGTATTGTATTGTCTAATAGCGAAAAGGACAAATAAAGACCATTACGTCTACCTTTCACTGTGGTGTGAAATCAAATGAACTGACCTGCCCAGGAAACACTGGGCTGTTTAAATAGGGCATTTAGGAGGGATGGCTGCTAAGGTGCTGAAAGAAACAGGCAGAGAGCTTTCTCCTAAAAACCTGTTCATTGCCGGGATTTGGAATCTCTGGGGAGCACCTCCAATTAATCCTGGTGCTCTGTGTTTTACAAGTTGGCTGTGTGCGGCCTTGTGTAGAACTTTCCACATCAATGGGAAGGAGCCAGGGAACTTGGAAATCTCAAGGCTCACGCTTTGTCCCTGGAAGGGAGAGAGTAGCTGCATCCACAGCAGAAGTGCCTTTCACATCTTCTCTAGACTAGACACAGACATCGGGCAGTGTGGGGCACTTTCCTGTTCCCTGCCACCCACGTCTCAGAAGCTTGTCTTCTGACAAGTTCACGTTGGTCACATTTTAATATGTAGTAGTGTACCTCTTGCTTCACTTGTACTGCACAAGAATTGGTTTTTAAGAAATATATTTAGGCTTTTTTTGCACACTCTTATTTCGGGTAAATGCATATTTGCATAGAAATAATCTGTAGTGAGCTCTACTTGCAACTGTGTCAAATTTAGAAACATCACTACTGTAGAGACATGCTTTTGTATATGGATTTCCCCCAAAGTTTATTCCTTTTTTTCATTTATTATGTTGGGGTCACTGCACAATGCATTTATTTCATTGGGATTTTGTGTTGAGCCGTTCATTTGCCCAAGCTCTGTTTCTGTATATTAAAGTGTCTCCCCATATTTTATTTTATTACATTGAAATTTCTAAATAAAGTAATTCCACTCAAAGGTTACTTATACGCTCCTTCTTGTGAAGGTTTAGCATGTGGTTAAGCCTTTTACCTCCTATCTCTTCCCCCTGCTCCCCTCTCGCTCCACAATGTATGTTGGAAGATGCTAGGTTTTACCAGGCAGGGCAGAGTAAAGAAACCAGATGGTTTTAGCTCACACCTGTGAAAGTGCTGGGGTTCAGAAAAACATTACAGTTAATGGCCAGAGTAGGCCTTCCAAGCTCAGTGGGATTTTACTTACCTGGCATCTCATTCTGGTTAACTGAATGTTCCAGTTAACTGATGGTTACATTTGTTCACGCCCCCTCCCGTCCCCTCCTCAC